AAAAAAAAAAAAAAAAAAAAAAAAAGGAAATGGAATTAATGAGAAAAGGAAACACTGTAAGAGAAACTAAAAATGTAATCACAGAATTAAAAGTCTCCATTAATCCCTTGGTGAGATTAAAGCACAGAATTGGTGCTGTAAAATATTAAATCAGTGCTGTAGAGGTCAAGGTTGATAAATCTCATCAAAAAATACGGAGAAAAGATAAAGACATTAAAATGACAAGAGGGAAGTTTGTAAGTATGGAGACCAGAGAATTAAGAAGTGCTGAGCAGATACTTGATGCTTCTGAGGGTGAGACCAGAGGAAGCAATCAGCCGTGAGATGAGAGAAGGCCACACGAATCCCGAGAGTACAGTTTGAAAGGGATCAATACGTGCCAGCAAAAATCGCTGAAGATGGGCCTATGTCTAGACACCTCACAAAAATGCTTGAAGAATCAGGATTTTTAAAATTCTGTAAGTGTATACTCAGAATAAAGGAAAAACCTACAAAAGAAAGAAATCAGACTGGCTTCAAACTCTTGCTGCCTTCAATTCCAATGGAGAACATCTACAGAGTTTTCATCCAATTATTTGATGTCCCACCAAGGAACATTTCATGTTTGAAGTCTCAAGAAAGATACCCTGAAATATGTAAGGATTTTAAAAAACATATTGCCCTGTACCCTTTTAAAGAAGGAACTTGGAGAAGTATTCAAGACTGTCATCAAGAGATTAAGAACTGAGAGTGGAGAAGCCCTGGTACAAAAAGATGGGGGGAGTCCTGTTAAACAGGGAAAAATCTAAGGAGCTGTAAAAGTGGTACAAAACTTAATGAAAAGTTAAAAATATTCTCAAAGAGGTAAAGAAAACTCAGGCAGTAGTGATTTACTCTTGACTGATACAGTCTTCCTCCCTTATCCTTGGTTTTGCTTTCTGTAGTTTTAGTTACCCGCAGTCTACCACGGTCCAAAAAGTATTAAGTAGAAAATTCCATAAATAACCAATTCGTAAACTTTAAATTACACACTGTTCTCAGTATTGCAATGAAATCTCTTGCAGTTTCGCTCCATCTGGCCCAGGACGTGAATCATCCCTTTGTCCATCGGATCCACACTAGACATACAGTACAGTAAGACAGACAGAGAGACCACATTCACACAACCTTATTACAGTACATTGTTAAATTGTTCTATTTTATTATTAGTTGTTGTTAATCTCGTACTGTGCCTAATTTATAAATTAAACTTGATCAGAGATATATATGTGTAGGAAAAACGGTACAGAATATATAGAATTTGGTACTCTGTGTGGTTTCAGGCGTCCACTGGGGGTCTTGGAACATAACCCTCTACTGTACTTCATTTCTTCAGCACTTCTCTTGGAGGTTGTGAGCAGCCAAGTGTAGCTCCACGGAGTGGGGGAGTAGCTCCAGAGACCCCCAAGGGCAGACTCAGGGTGAGTGCTGCTTTGTTTCCCGTGGCTCATTACAGATCATCGCTTTCCTGTCCTCCTCAGGCAGTTGGTGGGCTGGAGATGGAACTTCTTGCCGGCCTGGTGTGGATTGTCTTTGCGCTCTACAGACAGGCCTTGTGCCCAAGGTCACCGTCCACACCTTGCTCCTGCCAAGGGGCATCTGCTGCTTCCAGGTGCTCCGGATGCCCTCAGCCTGCTGTCACTCCTGTTGGCCGTGGAGAGGGCCAAAGGCGTTTGCAGGGGTCTGCACATTTCTGAAGCTCTTCTGTGGGTTCCGTCTAAACTTTTCTCAGCAGTCTTGAGTAAGTAACATTCTTGACACGCTTGGAGCTCATGCTGTAACTGTACCTGGAGTTTGAAACAGGTAATAGGTCGGCTTGTACTTTTTAATAGTGACCAGAAAGCCATGTGATCCGCTAAAGGTCATTATGGGGCAGGAAGGAGAGATTTCACAGAATTTGTTTGAAGGTAAGTAATTGGACAAAAAAAACAAAACCATTTTATGTTTATGCCCTGCTGACTTTAGACTGTTCAATAAACTGGTTACACACTTCAGAACGTAGAGGCAGAAATCCCAAAAGAAATAGCGTTCAATCCAGTACTATGTTAAAAGAACCATACGTTTCACCTAATTGGTTTTATGCCAGGAATGTAAAGATGACTCAGTGCATTAATGCGGTTTATCACAGCAACAGGGCAACAGAAACATTTTGGCAGGAGTTCGGGAACCTGTTCACACAAGGTATTTTTATTCCCCTCGCACAGGTGTCAAACAGAAGCCAGTAGGACAAAAGTGATAGCTATTTAGGCGGCTTCAAGAGACTTATCCTCAAAGAAGCCGTTTGATTTTGGGGTGGCAAAAAGTGTGCTTCACGTGACTAAACGCCAGGCTGTGTCATTCTGTGAGAACAGAGGAAGGTTAGCCACAGGTCAAGGGTTTCTTGAGTGTGGAAGAGACTCTCGAAGTTCAAGGTGACAAGACTTGCATTTGAGAAACTCTTCAGGCTCCACCTGGAATTCTCAATGGGGCTTATCAAAGTGCTCTGAGGACCACAAAAGGGAAATTGCTAAAACACTGGAGTGGCAAAAAATGTAATCCAGTGAAGGCAGGCCAGAGATTCTCAGGGAATCGGGGCAACCATTGGGCACAGCTTCTAACTATCCCAAGACCACAGCGATTTTGCTGTTTGAGTCTTCAAGGTGGCTCTCAGTCATGTATTATTTTTAAACAGTTCTACTGAGATATAATTTACATGCAATATCACCAATTTTAAGTGTGCAATTCAAGGGGTTTTGACAAATGTTTCCAGTCATGTAACTGCCACCACAATCAGGATGTAATACATTTCTGTCACCCCAGAAGCTTCCCTGTTTCTTTACAGCCAGTTCCCTCCGCACACCCTCCTTCTCAGGCGACAACTGATCTGCCTTCACGTCGCGTCTCCTGAGGTCTCTGGAGCTCTGAGCCTCTCCCTCGTCTTTGACATTCTTTCCTGCAGATTCTAGCTGCCTGTGCGGGGCTCGGATTGGCCCCCCTCCCTGTGCTGTGGCCTGGGAACCCCCTCCAGGCAGTCGGGTGGGACAGACATAGGCCTCACCTGTGGCTCTTCTCATAATCACAGCCCTGTATTGTGGGCCCCGTACCTGTAAGAGAGATTGTACTCATTCCGTTTGGTTTTTAATGGTTTGTGCTAGGAGGGCAATTTCTACAGCCATTGATCCTTTCTAAGTAGAAGTGGAAGCGCTCTGACTCATACTTTGCTATTTGCTTGAAGATCTCATGTTACCTGGACTCTCCAGAAGAAAGCACTTCAGGTGCATTCAGGCTGCTGGCCACTCCCTGGAGGCAGGTGTCCAGTTTCAACCAAAATGAAACAATTATGTTTTCAGTTAGGAACCCCTTGCCTCCTCAAGGCATAAGGAAATACACTGACATCGTTTAATAAGAATTCATTTTGAAATAATTTCAAATTCAGTGAAAAGTTGCAGGACCAGTTAAAGAACTCTCATTATTGTCGACTGTCCCAACAAAGCTTCCATTCCCTCTCAGGCCCAGGATCCAATGCAGGCCAATATGTTGCACTTAGTAATCATGTCTCCTTGGACTCCTTCAGTTTGGAGCAGTACCCCAGTCTGTCCTGCTCACGCACATCCTGGACAGGGTTAAAGGATACAGGCCTTTCATTCCAAGGCAGGTACCTCAGTCTGGGTCTGTACATGTTTCCTTGGGTCCAAACTCAGGCCATGCTTTTTTGACAGGAATTACACAAAAATGATGCTGGGCTTTTCCAGCACATGGCCACAGGGAGCACACGATGTCAGTCCCTCGCACCACTGCTGCTTTAATTTTAATCACCTGGTTACATCGCTGTCTGACACCTTTCTCCACTGTAAGGGCCCCATTTTCCCTTTTGTAACTTGGGGACAAATTCTGAGACTATGCTATATTCACAGGTGCCCTTTTGAGGAAGTAAAGCATTTATGATTTAACTGTGCTAAAGAGTAACAACACTATAACAAAAGCATCATCTAATGGGTGTTTACTGTGTGCCTAGCACCATGAGAAGCACTTGACATACCATAATTCAATCCTCAAATGCTGCGCCTTAGGTACCACTGTTTTTCCATTTTATAAATGAGGAAACTGAGGATCTGTGGTGATGGTTTTGGAGCAGGACACATTAGATGCCACCTATTCGTCTTCTTGAATACTATTTTTTTTTTTTTTTCTATTTAGTGCAGGGGTGGGGAACATCCAGCCCGCATGCGCCGGTGAAACCATTTGGTCTGGTTCTGCCAAGGCAACTGCAGGTGGAATTCAAAATTCAATAAATCTAGGAGCTTTTCTCATAGCTAATTTTTAAGTTAATTTTGTATGGCCCTCGAATGATGTTATAAATATCCAAATGGCCCTTGGTAGAAAAAAGGTTCCCCACCCCTGATATAGTGCTAAAAACCCTATAAAAGATAGTAGCCAAGGCAGAGTTAAAAGCACCAAACAGAAGTGCTTTGAGTTTTTCCTTTGCAGCTCAAGTGATTCTGTTTCTGGCAACTAATGACCAGAGGTTCCATTTGATGCATTAGTAGATAATACACATTTAAAAATCTGCAACCGTTTCAAAATTGGGTCAAAGATACTTATTTAAAGTCACTAAAGTTGTCAAAAATAAACCCCACTAAACCTCATTATTTCTACCCCTGTTAGGTCAGGTCATGAAAGGAATGAAAGGTAATGACTAAAAATGTCAACCCCGTCAAAGCCACTTGGAAATATGCCAACACAGGAACCAGCCCAAAGGAGACCTAGAATACAATCTCTTTGTATAAAGAAGAAACCCGCCATGGGCATTATTAAAATATGAGAATTGATGTAACAGTTTTTATACTGGTCAAAAATTATGAGACTAAAATGTTTTCAAATACCCTTGAGAAAGAGACCATAATTTTCTCATGTATTAATTATAAATTAAGCACTGTCTATCAGTCTCTGTTTCAATTCTTAATGAGTTTTTTTTATCTGAGTTCATTTTTATTAAATCTCCCTTGGGAGAAGAATGGTGGATTTACAGATATTTTACTAGGGCCCATTTATTATGGGCCATTTGCTGTGGTCATAAATTTTGCAGTTGAATGACAACAAGTGAACAGGAGAAGAGCAAGAAGTGGGTTGAGCCTGAGAAATAGGGTGGGATTAACAGTGGGCTGGCACAGAAAACAAACAGCTTGTACATTTTGAGATAGTTCAAAATGATCTGGAAAAAAAGTGCCACCATTAAAATGCCCGTTGAATGAAAATAGCCACATCAGCCCAGCCGGGCGTGGCTCAGAGGTTGAGCATCGACCTAGGATCCAGGCGATCGGGGTTCGATTCCCGGTCAGGGCACATGCCCGGGTTGTGGGCTCGATCAATGACTCTCTCATCATTGATATTTCTCTCTCTCTCCCTCTCCTTTCCTCTCTCTGAAATCATTAAAGATATATTTAAAAAAAAAGAAAATAGCCACATCAAAATGGACTGCTTCACTCATAAGTCTGTCACAACAGTCACCCCAATTCAAAATATGTGTGGCATTCACAGACATAGCCCAGAGTTTTGGCCCTGAGTTGTGCGGCCAGTGTGCTGAACCACAGTACTGAGCGTACTAGCAGACTGCCTGGCATCTAATTTCCACTGAAGTTTTGGTGTTCTCAATTAATCACTTAGAGAATGGCACTTAAGTAATTTTTAAAAAATGTTTTATTTTTGTTTGTTGTGTGTGTGCACATGTGTGTAATAAGTGGAGATAGTATTTTGATGAAATCTTCAAAAGGCAGTGGGGGGCAGAGTATAGGAAATACCAGTGTCTTGTTGGGAATGTGATTCCAGAACGTGAATCTACATATCTGACTTTGTTATTTTGATAGTTCGGAAATGTTTTGTAAAGTATGGCAGGAATGGCTGATTTCTCTTTCTTTTATATAATGAAAACCTGAGTTTTTTCCTGAGCACATGGCTGCTCAGAAAGAAGGACTACATTTCCCAGACTTCCCTGCAGCTCGTTTCGGCTGTGTCATAAAGCTCCGTCCAATGGGATTAAGTGATGTGCGCAACTTGGCGGCTGCGCCCTTAACGCCCCTTCCCCCTGGCGGGAATGTAGCCTCTTGGTGAGGCACCTTGAGCCAGGCAGACGAGGGAACCCCAGAATGGCAGAGCAACCACAAAGATGAAGCCTCGGCCCCTGACCACTTGCCAGCCAGAATTGCTGCACCAGCCCAGACTTCTATATACAACAGAAATGAACTTCTCTTTTGTTTAAGCCACTGAAAGTCTGGATTTCTGATGCATGTATCTGGACCTCTGTATTAACTAACACTGTAGATAAGTCGAGGATCCATTGTAATTGTTTCCATGCTCGTCTCTGTGAGCTCCTTCTGACAGTCTCTCCCCATATTTCTCTCTAGTTCTTCATGGTTGGCCCCAAACTGCCCTGGGCCCTGGGCACTTGTGAATGTTTATTGAATGAATGAATGAATGTACTCTGAGGCAAACCAGCCTGTGGTGGGAGCTGTGATAGATGTATCAGAAGAGCTGTGGAGGGAGAGCTGACTCCCAGTTGGAATTTATGTCTAGGAATTTGTATTTGGCTGCTCATAACAGAAAAGCCAA